CCGATCACAAATGCAGACATGGTTTTATGTTTACGCGGCGCAATGCAACGCAGTGCGTAAAAAGACAGTATAAGTCATTATAATCCATAATTATGTCCCCACTGGATGCAATGAATGCCTCGTTTATAATGGGTTTTCATGTTTTTGAATCATCGCTCTGGCCTGACAGGGCATCATAACAGTATGGTAGGGGCGTAACATTTCCGTCACACGCTTGAGGTATTCGGCCAATCACAACGCACTGGATAGCTGGCCAATCAGAGCACACCTTGTTTTTCAGAACAATGAGCTTTGTAAAAATCGGCGCGTTTCAGAAAGGCAGGGCATAGAGGAGAAACAATAATGTACAATATGTGGAAAATAATGTGTTTTTTTAACCTTAATCCGCATAAACACATTTCATTACACCAAATACACAAAATAATGTTATTTTTAGCAGCATCATATGACCCCTTTAAGAAACGGTTCTTTTGAACAGTTCAGTTTGAAAACTAGGGCCAAACAAGGCCCTTTACTATGAAAGGCACTATGGTCAATGTTTTCAAATTCTAATTGTTCACAGAAAAATACGGTGTGACTCAAAACTGAATCTGTGTTCTTGCAGGAAATGGACAGACGTAGCTTCAACGGCCCAGGTTTTGAATATAAAGTGATGTGGAGGAAAGTTTTGGGCAGCGGACCATCCTGGCACATCAAATCCATCAAGTCTCCACCCTTAATCGTCACAGATGTGGGCAACTTCTCTGCCTTTGACATTAAAGTGCAGGCTGTTAATGAGATGGGAAAAGGCCCGGAGCCCAAATCCACCATTGGATACTCTGGAGAGGACTGTGAGTTTGTCATGTTCCATATTTTTGCTGCTCTTGTGAGCCCTTTTCCTGACATCTTCCTGTAAGGTTATGCATCTCAATTCACCCCAATTAAACAATGATTTTAGTTTAACGTTAATCCTGAGACAAGACGTTTTAAAGGGTATCAGAATGTGCTCTTTCTTCCTGTCAGACCCGCTTGAGGCCCCTTTGAATGTGGAAGTGGATCTGATCAACAGCACTGCCATCAAAGTGGTGTGGGCGCCCATAAACAGAGAAACTGTGAGAGGTCGTCTGCAGGGTTACAAGGTAATATACTGTGCTGTACGAAGATAAACTGAAAAATGTGATCTATCTAAAATATCTTTGACCGCTTATGTATTATCCATCCTATAGATTTATCTAATGCACTACGTCCTGGAAAGCAGACACCTCAGACGGGAGCGTGTTAGGGAGGGGAAGCCAAGCAACATCTCGTTTGAGATGACAGACAGTAATGAGGAGAAGAAGGTTCTGGGAGATCTGCAGCCCTACTCCCATTACGCACTGTCTGTGAGTGTCATCAACAATAAAGGAGAAGGTCCCCAGTCTGACCCCCTCACTTTCCACACTCCAGAAGGAGGTAGGAATGAAAGACTGAGAGACAAATAGTAAAAATAGATGAAGAAAGGTGAGGGATTCAAATCCTGTCATCCATTTTTTTCCCAGTACCTGGTCCTCCATCATCTTTACTGCTGGATAGCCCATCGGAGACGGAAATGACACTGCATTGGACTCCGCCCACCCAGCCGAATGGTGTCCTGAAAGGATACATATTACAGTATCAACAAGGTGCGTTGACTGACAGCCTGATTCACTCTCATCAGGGGTATTAGAAGCTGTGAACATTAAAGGGATAGTTGACACAAACTTGAAAATTCTGTCATTAATTACTCACCCTCATGTCGTTCCAAACCCGTAAGACCTTCGTTCATCTTTAGAACACAAATTAAGATATTTTTGATGAAATCCGAGAGCTTCCTGACTCTGCATATACAGCAACATAACCACCACGTTCAAGGCCCAGAAAGGTAGTAAGGACATCGTTAAAATAGTCCATGTGACATCAGTGGTTCAACCATCATTTTATGAAGCTACGAGAATACTTTTTGTAAGCAAAGAAAAAAAAAAACAATTTCTTCTCTTCCGTGTCAGTCGTGGTACTCTCATGAACACGCGGCGAAAACTGACATGGAAGAGAAGAAATGATTGAATAAAGTCGTTTTTTTCCTTGTGAAGGATGAACGAAGGACATACAGGTTTGGAACGACATGAGAGTAAGTAATTACAGACAGAATTGTAATTTTTGGGTGAACTATCACTTTCAGCATCTGAAAACCATTCAAAACACTACAGCAACTGCGTAGCAAGTGCTTGGTGGTTAATATTTTAAAACAACTTTTTAAAACCACTAAACTTTAGTTAAAATAATATTTTTGACATGTCTTTTTCCCCTCATTTCTCTGCAGTTGTTAAGGAAGACGGTCCCATGCAAGTGGAAAAGATCAGTGACCAAGCCGTGTCTCACTTCAGCTTAAAGCTGGATCCTCACAGCCATTACCGCTTCTACCTGCGAGGCTACACTTCTCAGGGAGAAGGACTGCCAATCATCAGGGAGGGAGCTACAACACTGGATGGAGGTCTAACATTTTACTGATCTCTAATATGAAATGTTTTTCATATACCGTCCTAACCAGACGTGATGCGACACACCTCTAGCGACAAGTAATTTGTGTGTCCACACTGAAAATAGGAGGAAATGTGACATTCACAACCAGTTTGAATTATATTTGGACAAATGAGTTTGTCTAAGTCTCACTTGGTTTTTGTGTGTTTGTGTGTGTGTGTGAACAGTTCCGCCCTCCAACATTAGTTTATCGACTGGAGAGACATCAGTCAACCTGACCTGGGTATCGAAAAAAAGACAGAGGAACGTGGGATTCTTTATTCATTACCTGAAAAAGGATGGTACGTGCCGTATGGACAGGACGTGATTGAAAACGATTGAACACAAGCTTGCTTGTTGAATAGCAAAATAGGAAGTAGCAGCTTTATTACCTCTTATGTTAGTTGGTGCCTCTACTCTTTCAGTGACTGAGAGAGAATAAAAATGAGTGTGTTTTGATTTGTATTGTATTGTCTTTTTCTGTCCAGGCAAAGGCACATGGAAGCACTCTGAAAGAGTAAACAGCTCTCAGTCCTTTTACACACTGCATGGGCTCCAGTCCGGATCCGAGTACCGCCTGAAGATTGACTTCAAAAACAAAACTTTATGGGAGGATGAGATCCAGACAGCAGGAGCAAGTAATCACAAAACAGCTCTCTTAATGCTTTTTATAATAAATTGCACCAGTGTCCTATTTACATGCAGACCACAGAAGAAATTTCTGGAATAAGTCTCTTATACTCGCCAATGCTCCATTTATTTGATCAAAAACACAGTAAAACAGTAATATAGAGAAACATTATTACAATTAGTTTTTTTTCTATTTATATATATATTTCTCTTTATATATATATAAACCATAATAAAAATATTTCAAGATTCTTTAATGAATAGTAATTTTAAAAGAACAACATTTGAAATAGAAATCGTTTGTACAATATAAATGTCTTTACTGTCACTTTTGATCAATTCACTTTTTGAGAATTTTCTCGATTGTGTAAATGATCACAGCATTTCCATATTTTTCCCCTTCAATATCATACAAAGTGTCGTGAAATTTATACATCATTCCCTCCCTCTACTTCAGAAGTCATGGAGGTGCATAAAGGGTTTGTGACTGAGAGCTGGTTCATTGGACTCATCAGCGCCCTCGTGCTGTTGCTGCTGGTACTGCTCATTCTGTGTTTCATAAAACGAAGCAAAGGTGGAAAATACTCAGGTAAAAGAAGCACACACATCCTTCTAATCTATTGTCACGTGACAGTACTAACAAATGTGCAAATATCCCTGAATTTTATTCTTATTACAGTCAAAGAAAAAGAAGAAGGCCAGATAGATTCTGAAGCTCGGCCAATGAATAATGAGGGTTTTGGAGAATACAGGTGTGGTGAAGTTTGTTAGACAGATTATTGCATACATTTCCTTTCCCTATTTCTTATGCTCTTCCTTTCTCTCTTAAATGCTCTTCCTAACGATTTGCAGATCACTGGAGAGGTATGCTTTGCAGTGGCGTTGTGTTCCTTTGCATGCATGGCTTTCTCAATACTTTCCCTTGCATGCATGGCGTGGCATTTTTGACATCTCACTTGGTGTACATTTGTAGATTTAATTGTATTTTTCTTTCCGTAGTGACAACGAGGAGAAGCGGACGGCCAGCCAGCCGTCTCTGTGCGAGGATAGTAAGCTATGTACCGACGACACTCTAGACGACTATGCCAACAGCAACAGCGTGCAGACCGAGGTCATCATGGACGAGTTGCTGGCCAGTCAGAGCAGTGGAGTCCGAGATGTTCCTGACCCTGGGACTCAGGAAAGTTCCCCTCTAAATCCTGCCACAGCCATCTCCCACCACGGCCTGCCCAACTCCGCCGCCCTCCTTGACTAGCCGGGGCAACACCGAGACCAATCGTGGATTCACACATGTGCCCACCTGTTGCAACCGCTCATGACTGACCAAATAATCCAAAACCCACAATAATGAGACCTACACACACAACAGATGCCAAGCCGCCCTCCTTGACTAGCCGGGGCAACACCGAGACCAATCGTGGATTCACACATGTGCCCACCTGTTGCAGCCGCTCATGACTGACCAAATAATAACCCACAATAATGAGACCTACACACACAACAGATGCCAAGAAAACATCCAGATGCACTGCTGGACGTAATTGGACCAACACAACACTTTTAACACAGCCAGAGGAAAACATTCGACTGACATATAACAAATAGACTGCCATGCTCGTTGTTTACAGATATTATCGCTCATTTTACGATATAAAATAGGCTATAGCCGTTTACAGTTGTACAAACGTAACAAGAAGAGACTAATCCAGTGACAAATAAAGTAGACGCCGAGCTCCCATCCCAAATTGGAGTCGGATTCACCTGTTGGTCAATAAAAAGCATTGCGGAAGGAGGGTGTGAGGGAGAAGAGAGAAGCTGAGGGCCTTAAAATCATGACTAAGTGCGTTGTGCAAGCATATAGACAGCGTGAGCTGGTTATACTTGTTGCAAAATGTAATCAACTTATTGTGTTTTGTGCGTCTCTACCATTTGTTGCTTTTTTTTTATTCTTTGAAGACTTGCCTGAACCATTTTTATAATTAATTTTGTATTATTAATTTATTCTTTTTTTTTTTTTACACAATAATCAGTTTGTGTCGTGTTTTAAAGGTGCTGTGAGTGATGTTAGCCATTGTGGAACTTCTACGTTTTAGCCACTGACTTTAAAAAGATTAGCACGGTTCGCATTGCCCTGCTGGTACATATTACAAACATCTTTCTCTGGCAAAATTCGCAGTGTGCTCTGATGGAGTATTTTTTTTCAGCGAACAACTTGTTAAATTTGGTTATATATTATAGTAGATGTTTGAACAGTGCCTAGTTCTTTTCAGAAATGAAAATGCATCTAATTTCTCAATGCATCTTATTGACATTGTGAAATATGTTTCATTTTTAACTCAAACTTAGCAATGTCATAACTCTTTCTTCCAGTGAATTTCTTAGAATCTACTACAATGTCACATTCAGATCTGCCACCATCTAATCAACAACCGTTCCATAAAATTTGCTTACAGTACCTTTAAGTCATCTGTATGTTGATATATTGTAATATTGTAGTGTATACATATCAATAGAAGATACATAACGACAATGACATCCCCCTCAGTTACGATTACAGATTTCCGTAGTGTAAATACACGAGATGCAAAGGCTTTACGACGCTAGATCGTTTATAGCAAGCTGTACATACAAGCATCTATCAATTTAGCCAAATACAGTATTATAATCTCTTTCATCTCCATCGGTTCCTGTGCCTGCCTTCGACAACATACTCACCACCATCTCTCATGTTTATTCCTCCCTCTGCATGTGTCTGTGTTCTTAATTCTTGTTTTCTGCGTTGTATTAAACTGTACTGATTCTCTCTTGCAGTCCTGTTGGTGTAAAGCCATAAGAATACACACGTAAGGTGCGTAGATTTGAGGTCGTATTGAGTTAGATAGGGCTGTGAGAGAGTACGTCACACACAGTTTAGGTTTGGTTACTTAAATGCAATCATGTATTGGCTTGTCTTATTACACAGAATGTATGCTTTGTTTGGGTGGGAATTGTTCCATACCAGTATACCAAATAGCATTCGTTCCCTTTTTCGCTTTTTGGTTCCTTTGATTTGACGTTTGATAAACAAATATAGCGGAATATAGCACTGAGAGAATCTATGGCACATCTGGTATTTCTCAAGAGAGGGGCACAGGGGGAAAAAAATCTCTTAATTTCCAGATGAATGTAAATATAGCCCAAAAGATTGTTTGTTATGACGTTGATAACTGTCTTGTTGATTATGTTTTAGGTTTTTAAATTTGTTTGAGTTTTGTAACTGTTTTTTTTTTAACTTTAGAGTAACTTGTTAGTTGTGATTTGAGTGTGGTAGACAAGTAGTGCATAGTTTTAAATAACTAAGAAAAAAGTCCTTTGATAAATGTTGCAGGTTCTGAAAAAAAAAAAGCTGACTGGATAAAAGAGACAGAAAAAAGCTAATTGCGCTTATAGTTTCCCGAGTGCTAAAGAATGGCAGTATTGTGCGTATCTGATTAGAATCTATTGCTGCAGAGGCAGCGTGAAAGGAAGGACGCAGTCATCTTATTTGCACCACTGCACACACACTCACACTCACACACACACACACACACACACACACACACACATGCTTCCAGGGAGCAATAGAAACACGCTGACTCAGATCTTTGAGACCACTGTCTTGCGGCGGGCTTTTTGCAGTGATTGTCCGATCTGTGTTAGCCTCCCTCAAAAAAGCTGTACAGACACACTCAGGACAGAAGTCTCTTAGAGATCTATTTTCTTACAGGAGGGGAAGTGATGCAAATTCTATTCAACTCAATATTCAACTGAACTGCTGCTAGACGACTTGTGTATTTTGTCAGTGTCTTGACTGTGTATTGAGCTCGGAGGTGAATCGACTCTTGGATATCCACTATACTGCCCTCTGCTACTGCAACTAAAACTGGGAGGGAGGGCACCGTTTAAAGCCTGACTAGCGGACGAACGTTTCTGTTGTTACTTGTCAAATGTACGCATTCAAGCTCATAATGCATCTTAAACTGTAGGCTTAATGCATAAATAAGCTTGACATAATAGTCTCTTATTCCTCTTGTATGTTCTGTTTGTTACTGCATATGATGTGAAAATAAATGAAGGACGAGATGAATGAGGTTGTGGGACTGTATTGGTCACATTCCCCTGTGGTGTTGTGGACTGAAGGGGAAGTGAGGGTGGGGTACGATAAATAGATATGAACTGGATTTTGTTATTGTATCTGCAGCACCGATAAGCCAGTGTAAGTAAATACTTCTTAATATCGATGGGATCATCTACATCTGTAACATTCTGTATAAAATTCATCACTATATAACATTTTATAATGGCAACTCTCAGCAATGATACCTATAAAAGTCCAATTGATGAATGTCAAACGTACACAGTGCTTTGAAATCCAGTAGCACTTTATTTGTCGTGCAGGAGAATGATCAGATGAGAGGATGGAATGGGATGGTGCTTTATCGAGAGCTTGTGCTGAACTGGGTGAAGTAGTGAACTGTGGGACGGTTTGTATACTGCTGCTTGTCCAGGTAGTGTTGGCTGAAAAACAGAAAACACTTGTGGTTCTAGATATCCAAGAATTACTTTGCTAATAGCTACTAGCAACATTATTATTATTACTAGTAGCTATACAATTAACAAAATTAGAATTTGCATACACAGAAATGTATCTATTATTAAGTACTCACTTTTGGTGTTAGTGTCAAAGTGAACATGAAATTTTACTTCTGCAATGTAGCGTACACTACTATTCAAAAGGTAGGGGTCGACAATATTTTTTTTTCTCTTATTCTCACCAAGGCTGCAGTTATTTGATCAAAAATGCAATAAAAACAATATTGTTAAATATTATTACAAATTTAAATAACTTTCCTGTTTAATGTTATATTTAAATTATTACATTTAAATATAATATAAATTAAACATAATTATATTTAAATTGAATTCATTCATGTGATGCAAAGCTGAAGTTTCAGCAGCTATTACTCCAGTCTTCAGTATCACATGATCCTTCCGAAATCATTTTATTATGCTGATTTGCTGCAGAAACATTTCTTATCACTGTTGAAAACATTTGTGCCATTTAATGTCTGTGGAATACATTTGTGGTTTTTACTGTCAACTTTGATGAATTTAATGCTGCATCCTTGCTGAATAAAAGTAGTTATTTCTTCCAAAAAATAAATAAATACTGACTGCAAACTTTTGAACGGTAGTGTATATCCAGGTCAAATATAATATATTACTTACTTACTTACTTCAGTACAAGTAAGGTCATTACTTGTACTTATTTGAACAATGTCTAGAAACTTGGTATTGCAAGCACTTCCTGTATCTGTTTGCCTCTTTAAGAAGAATCGCTTTATGTATCCCCAAATTGTAAGTCGCTTTGGATAAAAGCGTCTGCAAAATGACTAAATGTAAATGTAAATATTAAACAAGAAAAACATGAATTGTGAAAAGTGACCCTATTATTACCATTATAATATTAGCTATTGGTAAGCTTGCATTACCAACCACAGTAGCTTAAAATTGTTTATTTATGGCCTAGCAGATGTCAGCCAAACAGAAAAGGTGTGGAAGAGGAGCAGGTTATTTAAAATGCAATGAAAAAATGAATAATGCGCTTTGATGAATTGTACAGACTATTTTTTAAAGGTCTTTTACTACTCTTGATTGTTTATTTTCCAGTTGTCTGCGTTCTGCTTGCATCCTGCTGTGTGTTTTTAACAATAGTGAAATATGAATGTGCCGCTTACTGCGCTTGCTGCTCTCGTGCCAGCTGTTGATTGTATTTATCGAGCTGAATTCTCCTCTCTCTCTGCAGCTCCTTGTCTCTATTCTCCTCTCTCTCCTGCTGTCTGGCCTGCTCTGTCAGATGGTAATCCCAGGCCACATCTCTCTGCCTCTCCATCTCTCTCAGTCTCTGGTGAAATTGGAAAGGGATAAAAGAGTATTACTTTTATGATGACTTATAAATGCATGCTCAAATTGCACATGTCAGTGCAGGATCTTAACCTCTTTCTCCAAACACTGTTCCTCTCTCTTTCTGTGGATTTCACTGATCTGCTGTGGGGTCATGCCCTTCCAGCGGTCGGTCAGGACTCGTGGACCCTCTGCTGAGGATTCGGTTTTTCTCTTGGCAGCCTCTGGTCGCTCTGTCAGGAGGTCAGAGGTCACCATGTACTGCACCTCTTCCAGCTCCTCTCCCTCTCTCCTCAGTCTCTCTTGTTGCTCCCTCTCCATCCTCTCCTCAGCCTGCAAAGGGAGGTCAGATGTTACCTTGACCTTTCATCTCAAAGATCTATGGTGCCTCTGGGTTCATGGGTCATGATTTACTCATCCTCGTCATTTCAAACCCGTGTTGGTGCATATTAACCTCATATTGGATAAAAATAGCTCTTTGGGGTGACAATGGCAGGTTGCCACTTTTTACAGTGTATGATTTTGTAGTACAGAAAATAGCGGTGTGAATATTCTTCAATATATCTCCTTTCCATCTTCCATGAAAGTTGTTTTGAACATCTTGAGGGTGAGAAAATTACTTTGTGTTCATAATTGGGAGAACAATATTTATTTAATATTTAATAACCTAAAAATAAACACAAATGATTGCCTTCATTAGTTTAGTGGTGAGATAATACCTGAGCTTGATTGTAATGACTGAGTGCAATGTGGGCTGCTCTTTTGCACTCCTCCTCCAGGGCACTCAGCTGCACTGCCCTGAGGTCTTTTTCCACCAACTCCCTGCCGGTTAGCAGCTCTGCACACACAAACACAGATGAAGTACACTTACATTATTGTTCCTTCTATTTTAACATTACAGAGCTAAATGGAATATAATGTAATCAGTTCACCTCTGTTTTTTTGTTCCCTTTCTTGTTTTTCCCTCTCCTCCTTTTGAGCTCTCAGGTTTCTCTCGTTCATTTCCTTCTGAGCTCTCTTCTTTTCATTTTCATTAATTCCTTCTCCCTGACCAAGTGCGAATGAACATATACATAGAATATGAACAGTGGAATCCTGCAATGTGACGAGCTATATTTCCAATAAAACTATTTTAATAAACACACACACACACACACACACACACACATATAATTCCGTTTTTAAGGCTGTTGTATTCGAGAGACTACATATTTGTACTTCTTTTTTGTCACACTAAGACTATTTAAATGAACTAAAAATGGTGAAAAACCTAAAATAAATGCTGAAAAGTTACAAAAAACTTATTGTCCTTACACATTCAAAATTGCATAATTACATGCAACTAACCTATACCAAACCCTTATCCTAATTTTAACCCATAGTAAGTACGTGTATATAAATATTACTCATGACTTAAAGGAGTAGTTCACTTCCAGAATGAAAATTCTGTCATAATTTACTCACCCTCCACTTGTTACAAACCTGTATGAGTTTCTTTCTTCTGTTGAACACATAAGAAGGTATTTTGTTAATCAAACAGTGGATGGTCCCCACTGACTTCCAATATATTTGTTTTTCATACTATGTATGGAAGTCAATAGGGTCCATGTTTGGTTACCCACATTCTTCAAAATATCTTCTTTGTGTTCAGCAGAATAAAGAAACTCATACAGGTTTGGAACAACTTGAGGGTGAGTGATTGATGGCAGAATTTTCATTTTTAGTTAACAATCCCTTCAAACGTTTAATTACAGTGTGACAAGGACACCTTAAAATAAAGTTTACCATAAATGTGAACCTTTCGTGTCCATGTCATTTGTTAGAGACTTTATCTGTTGCTGTGTCCCAACAAACACTTACCGTACATGCTATGCTTACCAAAAACACTTGCATACTGGCGGGTCCCAATGCAGAGTCCGAGACAGAAATACTGGCGTCTGGCGCCGCCTGTCGGCCATAATTGATATCTGCATCACGACTGTCTTCAGCTCGTTGATGTATCGCTCTATATTGTACCATGTCCTGAGCCAATTCTCTTCGCAGCTCCTCTTCCTCTTTTTTCTGTTGCATTGCCATTTCATCCAGGGACAAGCGCAACAGATCTGAACAACAAAGGACATCATTTCTGCATATCATAGACCAATGGAAGCAAGAGAAACACCCAAAATACAGGCAATATATAGCTTACAAAATAATTGTTTGATACATAAACTTGCAGTGATGTAGCTTGTTTGAAGTGATGTGTTTTACCATGAGCCATGTCTCGCTGCTTGCCCATCTCCAGTCGTTCTTGTTTCTCCTCCCGCTGTTTGTGGAGCGCGCGCAGGTCAACGCCGATCACTCGGCTGCTGCTGTTGAATATTCGGTTCTTGCGCTCAGCCTCTGCGGCCCGACGCCGCTCCACCGCCCGCAGCGCAGACTCATCCACGGGTAAGTCAACCTTGTACATGTTCTGTCAAAGCACAGTTTTATATCAACAAACTTCCAGGATATCAGCTACCTCTCCCTCACCGCCACTGAGAAGCTGGTGGATTTTTATTTACTTATTTATTTTTTTGCGTACCCATTAATAACAAAAATAGCTAGAATTCTTAATTACGCAGAGAAGAAGATAAAACATCAAAACCTTACTTGTGAATATCAGTTGGGTTTCGACCATAGACTGTATAAGGTTTCGACGAACGGCAGTGTGTCAACTCTCCTCCTCTTGCGTTTGAAGCGCTGTTTGGCGTTGCCATGGTGACCGGTTCACGGTCTGTAGCGCGGTTTCAGTACGTTATGTGATATGTTTGACAGACATATATTATTCATGCAAAATTATGTGGATATACAAATTTCGTTTTCCAAACCAGGGTTATTATAGTTAACTAAACCTAAAACCTTACTTTAAATAGGTGAAATAAAATAAAACATAAAACACGTATTTTATTTCAGCAAGTTGCCAAGGCAATATTTCTCATTTTCATTACCTTGTAATAAAGTAAAATAAAACTGAAATAAAAATGTATAAAACTATATATTTTAAAACTCATAAAAATAATTAAACAAACAGCAAAATTACTAAAACTTTATCTAAAATTAATATATATATATATATATATATATATATATATATATTAA